TAGACGTGATACAATTTTCAAAACATTTGAGCTTTTAATAGACATTTTAGTTTTGCCAGTTTTAACGTAATTTACTCTGTGGATAAAATAGTTAGACCAAACAGAAATGCTTGAAAATTTAACAGTAGATGTACTTTTAAGATGTACTTAGTGTTCAATAAGAAAAAGTTGAGTTTAATGTAGAATTTTTTTCTTTTATAAGAATTTTTTTTATCAAATATTGACGAAAATCGTAAATATTACGGCCTTTTAAAACATGTATAACCGAATTCCGTTCAGAATCGTTTTTCATTAAAAACGATTAATCGAAATACATTAAATTCTCCTTTTCATCTACAACAGTGGCCCACCCATTGTGCGGAGTATATCCGTTTTTTTTTGCTATTGAATTTTTATATATTTTTGTTTAAAAAAAAAATAAAATAAAATACAATTCTTTAAATAATCTGGATTTTTGATTCTCCAATCTTGGATTTTGAACATTTTATTTCCAAACGTAATATAATTGGATTTTGAATTATTATGACGAATTTTTCAATATATTTTTATTTTTTCAGTTATATAATAAAAAATCGGAATGCGCTCGATAGAAAGTGGCCATCTTTCCTGAAAAAATATCCTAATTGGATTTCTCTACGAAATTGGAGTGTTAACCTTGAAATCTCTATTTTGACAGGTCCCTTAATATAAAATTTAAACTGATTCAATTTGTTGTTCATAATTATAAAGACGTTTTAACTGTAATCGTAGATATTTGAAAAAAACCACTTCCAGGACCCTTAAGTGGATTGGTGACGGCGTTGTTTATTTCAGTGAATATAAAATCCAGATAAAACCGTATGAATTGTATTTGGCGGATTTTAATTTTGAAAACGGATTAAGATTCTCTAGGTTATTTTACTGGAAATCGTAAAAAAATTTGATTGTATTTTTGAAGAATATTCTTAAAGTATGTTATCTTTTTCTTATGATAACGAGAATGGAAATTCAAAAAAATAATCCCAACGTAGAAACTATATAACACATTTACAAAATTGAAATCCGTCAAACTTTCGTCAAACCTTAAATGAGTATCGGACAGTAGATTAGAGAAAATGACTTAAAACAATATTAAAATTGATATTAACGTGTAAAACAATTATTCAAATTTTACAAAATTGGAGAAAACAATTCAAATCCGGATTTAAACTCGTATTAGTTTTACTTCACTAAACGTTAAGTTAATTTAAACTAATCTTTAAATTAAGATGAAGTTATGATTGTGTTTCACCATCGGTTTTTAAGAAAACTTAGGTAAGGAATACTTAATGTCATTTTCGGTATTTTGTTCCTAATTTTAAACGATAATTTTAACATTTGTATGGGTTGTGAGCCAACAAATTTTACAATTTTCAACAACTATGAACTGAAGTAATTAAAAATTTACATAAAACATATTCCGCGAACATCAATTCATCATTTTAATGATCGTACCAATGGTGTTTCATAAAAATGACAGATTCTTCGTTGAAGGGTGAATTTCACATTCATAGTAGGTACTACAAATTTACTACAAACCAACGAACAATAATAACAAACAAAACAGTAAAGCGGAAATCAATGTCAAAAATAAAACGAATTTATATTTACATTATACTTATATTTATATGATTGTAGTTTTTAAATTCGACATCGTAAACTGTAATCAGTATTTGAAATATTGACAACACGTCTTGAGGAATACTTAAATATTCGAGCCGCATTTGAATCACGGTTCAGTTTAAGCTTTGGGCATTACTTGAAACAAATCGAGTCAGTGTTGAAGCAACGGAAAAATTATGTCAAGGCGGCCTTAACTACTACTTAAATTTTAAGCGCGGCCGGTGTGAATGGGCATTAAATATAGTTCGTTATAATTTTTAAACAGTATTGAAGGAGAAAAGCGGCGGCCGAACAACAACAACAACGACATCCTGTTATCACTATATATTTATAGGCACCGTCCGTATATTATTGCCGCGTATAAAATATCGATAATAAAAACTACACCTCCGGGAAATTGTAACGAACCACGTACGAACATAATAATACGTCGCTGTGCAAGATAAGTTTACGGTGAATTTTTACTGACGCAAACGCGACGGTTTTATCGTTTTAACGTTATGTATATACATAAATAGAAAAAAAAAAATTAAAAAAATTGTACACAGCAATAAAAATAATATTATAATTTGATATCTACCGCCGCAAAAGGTGAGCGCGAGTGTATTGCGGCGGTATGTGCACAAAATTCAAGGCGTTCAACCCGTTCGTCCCCGGGCCGAAACGGGCCCACCGCAGACCCCAGTGGAACCGACATATTTTGCAAAAAACGCGAAAAATTATACATACCAATCGGTAGTATTGTGAATATTAAATGCTGTCTGCCGCATGTATCGTATTCAACGTTTGTATGTATTATTTATTGGTTTTCATACCCGAAGTATGAATTATTTATTATTTTTTTTTAGATTTTAAATAGCTTTTTACCGTTTGTGTTTATTGCGATTCGTAATCTATTGAAACATTCAAAAGCAGGATAATATATACGCAGGTGTTGTATATGTGTGTTTTCATACGGCCCGGTGAAAAATATTTAAAATGACCCGCATGAAACCCCGTACATCCGGCGAAAATACGGTAACGACGCCCCCGCCCACCGACCGACCAGAGAATATGACGTTTGTTTGTTTTAAAGCGTCTTGTCGACCTCATAGCGCGGCGCCCGTAATATAATCAATGCGATCGCCTTCGAATCCGATGACTGTAGACACGATTGTTTGCGTTTTCCCTATTGCTTTATCTAAATCCGCCGTGGTTTTTTATCGACCGGGTTTCACGTTGGGTTTTCGCATTATGACTCCCGCACGGGAGAAGTATCGGATATGATAAGGACCAGCGGTGAAATACACACCATAGAGTATCAAGTTTATTATCGTAATCATTTAATTATTCATAATATGTTATCGGTAATGATGTGAATTAGCGATGAAGAGTATTCCGTTCGGATGCGTGGTTCGTTTCGAACCTCGGATCAAAAAAACGCGACTAACGACAGTAATATTATTTGACCCAGTTTAGCGGATCATACGCGCCATTGCACCGCGCCAATATGAATATTTCAAAAGTACAGCAGTGTAGTTTATGATTATTAAATGTCCAGACGGGCAATATTGCGTACCTGTACTATCGATTACGTGCGGCAAATAACAAAACCGAAACGAAAAACCGCGCTGTTCGTTCCAAAAGAACTTCGCAGTACTCAAAGGGTCGCGCATAGACAATTTTAACGGCGGTTGTACAATGACGGTATTCCCGAGGGACTTCTTTGTACGTATAGTTTTATTTGAAATCCGTTTTTGAAAACTGTTTAAACTAGTTTCCGTTAAAATATCGTCCGTTGTATTTCTTTTATCTCTAAAATCGTTTTAATACGTATTTTTATTTTATTTGGCGTCCGAACATGTTTTACCCACTGAAAATAATTTATTTGGAACACGTCTCTCGAAAAAGAGGTAAAAAAGATATTTTTTTAGTCTATACATTCCAATAATCATTTTATGAGAAGAAAAATCTAAAAAGATCCGTAAAATCAAAAGAGGCTCTCCCTAACTAATCGAAGGTATTTGGTCAACCGATCCGTGGTAGTTGGAACTCAGAAAACATTGTTTTGAATGAACGTATCAGTTTCGGTATAAAATATATGAAAAGGTATGATAGTGTGTGAGGGAGTAGCGCGACCGGTTAAAAAAATCGAATGAGTAGTCAAGGAAAAGGACGGAATATATTATTAGTATTAAAAAAAAACTGCGAGATATGTCACAAGTGACATCGCGGATGGTTCCAGAAAAAGGACGGAGGTCGGAAATGGAATTTTTATAATATTGTGTGGGTACCTACTAAAAGCATAGCCGGGAAAAAGCAATGATCAAAGGAAAAAAAACGAGGAAAAAAAAAATAAAAAACCGAAGGTACGAAAGGGTTTCAATTCCGCAGAGAATAATATTATTATAAATTATAATATGTACAACAAAAGCCGAAAACATTTTTGTTAAAATCTCCAATTCGTATGGCATAATATTATTACGCCACTGGTAATCACAGCTGATGACACTAAATAAAATGTTCCCTACGATCAAGTTTTTGTGAAAAATTTAAATTTTGTAGGCGACGATAACCTTTTTTTTTTATTTTCATAAAATAAAAATTTGAACTTTATTTTCAATTTTATTACATAACATCAGGATGAGTAATTTTCGGACAAAGGAATCCAATAAAGGAACACTTATTATTCGAATAATCATGACTTATCACTAGAGCAAAAGAGGACATTCAGTATTACGAAAAGACGTCCTAGGATAATGGGGTCGGACGCAGCTACTGTTATAAGTAATTCAATGCAAACCTGTTGGCAACGATAAACCATTGCTAACGAAAAAAACTATTCTAAGCGGAGTTCAGTTGATAGGGTTGTTTGGTCAACAATAAATATGTCATGATATAGTAAAATTCCAATTACTCCAATTCCAAAATTAAAATGGATCTCGTTTTTCCTCAGTATTTTGTTTCGGGTTTTTACAAATGTTGAGAAAACTACTAAGAAAATCGAAAAATTACCTCTCTAAAGTACCATCCCAATAAAATTTCCTTTTAGAGAAATCACTATCATTATAAGTTGGAGCAAAATTGCTAAGAGTAGAAATTGCTAAGTTGGTTTTATTAGTACTAAGAATTATCGAGATATCTGGCGGATGGGAGAGGAAGGCGAGAATTTGTCCTTAAAGCAGCGGTCATCATTCGCAATTGGTACGGTTTATTCGATCCCTCCCCCTTTTCAAAAACCATGTAAAAGCAATCGTTACAAATACATACTATTTCAAAAGGTGTTGATAAAATATATTGACTACACCAGAAAATAATTTGTGCGCATCATCGTGTAGGTATATTTAAAAAAAAAAATCCGATATTTTCTTTATTTCGGCTTATCCGTCCATTTCACCGTCGGTCTCGCTACTGCCGCTGCAACGTCTGGACCTCCTGCGCTTCCTGCACTTGGACGAGCGTCTGCTTCTCCTCCTCATGGAAATCCTACACGACTTCCTACGTCTCCTGCGGCTGCCACATCGGCTTCTCCGGGCCTCTGTGATTTCCGCGGCCGAGGTGCTGCTGCCGCCGGTCGACGACGATTCGCCGTCCGTCGACGCGTTCTCCTCGTCGTCTTTCGAACTACGGCGTCTGGTGGACTTCCGCCGCCGTCTTCTTCGACGAGACACCGCGTCACTGGTTTCCGCGTCATCGTCGTCATCTCCGTCTTCGGAAGTCACAGAGCTGTTGTCGTCGTCGTTATCCTCGTCGCTGCCCGCGCTCGGCCGCCGACGATATCTTCTCGACGATGAACGCCTCCTACGCCTGCCGCTTCTCCTCCGGGACCTGCGTGAACGACGTCTACGGCGTCTGAGATTGATAATACCGCCGAGGTTGTCGGTCGCCAGTTGCACAACATCGGTCACAGCGCCGTCGTCGCTGGTGTCGTTCTGGTTCGCGTCCGCCGATGTACCGCACGACACAGACTTGGTGCGCGAGCTCTTGGTCGATTTTTTGGCCGTCGTCAAATTTTTATTGTCCGGCGGCTGCACGTTTTTACCGGTCATTTTTATATTTATCGTCACGTATTTTCGCGAAAAAAAATTATGTTTCTCGTTAAAAAGTACTAAAAGTTAAAACGAATCAATTGGTTTCGCATTAAACTGTAAAACGGTGAATGCTACTAGCAAACTTATTTAACACAGTCAAATATTATAAACCGTAACCCGTTTCCACGGAGTTTCGAACGGTTATTAGTTATGTGTTTACTTTTGGCCAGTCCACTATTTTATGTATCCGACTTTATTATAGTCTGTTCTTTCGGCCAACACTATTTTATTTTACTGTGATCCAAGTGCGTCATTTAATTTTTTCTTAGGGTGGGGCAACATTTTCATCGGCCAAAAAACATAAGTGAATTACAAAATAGGACTTTGGCGGATCGTCTCATCTCGGATATATGTGAGAACTACAGGCGAGAAGAGGTACCATGGTGCTTAATGTTTGCAGATGAAATACATTTGATAGGCGGTTAATAATAGACTTGAGGAATTAAGTTTATCACTTAAAGGAAAGGTACTTAGGACAAGTGGAAAAAAAAACAGAATGGAGTAAGAGTTTTGAAGTATAGGACAAACTAGAAAGCTAGCGACAGTAAACATTGATATGATAAGCGTGGTTGAAAGTTTTAAGTACCTAAGATCTTTTGTACAAATAAATGGCGACTTTGATGAGAATGTGAAATATAGGACTAAGTGCGGTCGGAAATATTCTAGAAAAGTGTCAGATGTTTTATATTGTGAGAAGAGAATTTCAATGCGACTTGAAGGCAGGTTCTTCAAAAGTGCGGTGTACTCTACTATGTTGTATGGTTAAAAGTTTCAGAAATTGAAGTAGAACAGAAAATGAGTGTAGCGAATATGAAAATACTCAAGCGAACGAGTAGAGTAGCGAAAGAAGATAGGATAAGGAATTAGTACATGGGAGGTATCTTAGGCGTGTCTCCGATAGTATAGATAGACATGCCATGATGATAGGTAGGTATTTAGCATTTAGTTACCCCGTGCAATCAAACCCTGGCCTCCTCAATACTTGGGTTTTTTTTGTCTTTTGTTATTTTGTTTAACGAGTGAAGTTTCCATACATCTGGCAGATAAATAACGTACATTTAATAGCAGGTATTCAATAGTTTAAATACGAAAAACCTACAATATAAAATTATGACTTTTTAAGTCGGTGTTTATAAAATATCATAGAACGGACATGGTACCAATACATTCTTCATTCCACTCTGAATCTAAAAATAATTGGTAGTTACAAAATTATAGTGACGTGCAAAGTTATTATAAAATCAATGATAGTTATTATCGAACTTCGGTAAATCTGGATTTTTCCAGTCAATATCTTCGCATTCCTTTGTGCGTTATTAACAGCTTTACAGCTCCATAATTTTCACTTTTCATGAACAAGTTTTGGAATTTAAACTTTAATTAATTCGTTTCTGGTTGAAATATTTTGAAACTTATTTATATCTTACTTATAAAAAATTAATTAATTTTGTTTATACCTATACTTAAGTCTTTATCAAACTTTATATTGTCGAAAATCTGCGAGATTGCACTCTCGAGGTTATAAATAACCCAAAAATGGAAAAACAGCGAAAAATTCATATAGTGATAGTGCAAAATCGATAGAAAAAGGAAACGAATATTATACTCAGGCATGTTACGTATTCGGCCTATCAATCTAATAAATTGCGATTTGAAAAAAAAAAAAAATAGTTTTAAACACATTTAGTTTCAAATGAAATGTGTGTCACTGTAATATTTTTATATTTGATATTTGCGCTCGTATGTTAATTTTTTTTTTTACATAATATTGTATAGCGTGGATGGCGTACTCATAGTATGTACCCATCTCGATAAGAAATAATAGTTTTAATAATTTTCCCCTATGAGATATTCTTCTTCGGATCATCGGCCACTAAACCGTTGTCGATCCTTATCCGCTCGTTTTTTCTCCAGTCCAATCATCCACCTAAAGTTCCCATCGCACTACATTTCGCCATCGTAAACGGGGGCGTCCAAGAGGTCTCGATAACATATTAAATGAAACGATGGAAAAAATGTGACTTTTGAAGTATAGTAACAATTTGTTATGTTTATGAAATTGAGCCAAATTCAAAGTGTATTTTCGATGTTATAGTTTTTTAAACGCGCGTACTTAACACGAAACCCGGCTCTGGCGGTTTTGGCACATTCGAAATAGGTATTCACTATATCCGATCGGAACGCGTGTATACAGGATACTCGACGATTTTTAAACGACCGGAAAACCGAAGAAAAAAAAAAAAACACCAATAAATTTCGGCGTTTCTATATTAGTATTATGAAGTATAAATACTGTGCAGCGAACGTCCGGTACGGGTTGCGTTCGGATATTTTTTTCGTCCACTCCCCCACCCCTCGCCCGTTTCGTTGCTCGTAACGCGAGATTTCGGTAAGTTCGAGAGACCGACACAATACCATACGTAATATTATACCTAGGTACCTATACTCGCCCGAGAGTATAATGCGGAATACCTCAGCGGATCTTCCGCCCCGTACCCGCCCCTCGGTCACTTCGACGCGGTACAAAGGCGACGCACACACGTGTCCATTATTTTTATACGCATTATAGTTGTTTTTAATTGGAAGTTTATATTGTGTAGGTATAATAATATACGGCGATAGCGTGCCTGCCTGGTGCAAAAACCGAAGGCGACCAACGCGCGTCGGGCCGCACAGACGCACACGTGATAGACGCTAAATAAAAACGACGACTGCCACATTGTATAGAAAATCGTTTGTTTCGACTAGACACCGATACGTACCTATATAATAATAATATGTATTGAATAGCTAGCGTAGAAACCGCCTGAAAAATACCTAGACGTTCATTAGTATACGGATAAAAATATTTGTATTGTTAGTGTAGTTTTTTTTCGGTATATTATAGGGTTAGTTAAAAAAAAAAAAAATAATAAATAAATAAATAATTCAAATTCTTATTGTTGACTAAACTTCATTATTATATTGTATATACATACTATACCTGCCAAGACCGTGTCTGTTTCAGTTACGGTAGAATAGGTAAAAGGAATAATATATATATATATATAAAAAAAAAACCGTAGGCTTCGAAATTATAATAATAATACGAAAGACACGGTAACAAAAGAATAAGCGAATCAAAAACGGGAATCTGTAAATCTATAATAATATAATGCGAGACACAAAAACGGTTGATGATTTTTTAAACATTTTTTTTTTTTTTTCATTACAAGATCCAAGAAGAATTGTTGAAAAAAAAAAATTAAAATTTATGATTGACTCTCTTACATCTTGCGTTTCCAATGTTGCACTCCGCACAGACCTGCGTGTGAAAACAATTTCATCTAGAGAGGTTCCGTTCGCGTCTTAACTCACGCTAATCGACTAATCCCGAATCTAGCAAATGCAGTTTATCCCCGTTCCCCCGGCAATCCCAATCGAAACCTTAACCGCGATTTACGTAGACTTGTTAAATTGGCCGCGCCGAACAATGGAAAAATAATGAAAATCACGGTTGTTGTTCTACGAACACAGTTGTAGACAAGTACGTAAACGATTGAAAAAAAAAAAAAAAAAAAAAACGATTTAGTCATTGGCCATCGTACAGACCTATAGAAAAAAAGAGGACGCCGTACACAGACTTCTTTTGTCTCTGTCTTACAAACACACAACATAGTAAAATTTCGTTCAACGGTAAGCGGCAGGGCCGACGCTGGCAATTATAAATGGGAGTGGGGGATCTACATACACAAACATGATAAATACAACACACAATATATTTAATTTTTTCCTTTGGTTATCGGCATTTTCGGCATAATATGCTACACAGATGTTCTAAACTACTATTTACTCCGATTACTCGGCCATTTTTTTTCTATAAATAAACAAATAAGTTTTACTCGTAATTTTTATCAACTCGCGAATTAAATCGGCGCAAGTATAAATATTGAGTTTGGGGAGGGGTGTCACACCCCCTCCATATGTACCGGGTGATCCATTTAAGTGGTTACACTCATTAACTCATTTTAGTGTTAACATTTTTAATTTCCGTCACTCCGTTGACGAGATATTTCACTTTTCAGTTTGTGTTCGAGCCGTTGGAGGAGAATTAGTAGTGGGGTATCGTTTTTGTGACGGTACGATGTGTGGCGAGTTAATAATGTACCACTATTTTCTCCTTTAACCTAAACTTAAAAGTGGAATATCTCGTCAACGGCAAGACAGAAATCAAATATTTCAACACTCAAATTTATTTTAACTAATACTCCGTCTATTTATGGAATTTTTAATACAGGTATCCATTTGTAAAATAAAAATAGGTAATGGTTTTATCCCCCAAAAAAAGGATGACAAAAAATAACATAAACATGAAATTGTAGAGCTGCTTGTTTCTTAAATGTTCTAAAAATCAAAATCCGAAAAAAGTTCCGAGATAATGAGTGTGCCCACTTAAATAGATCACCTGGTATGTTCTAAATCAGTAGCGTGCTGATAATTTTCCATACTTGAGGCAAAACAAAAAATCTAGGACCTACCCAAGCAAAACATGGATTTTTATGGATGTCTTACAAAATATAATAACAGCAAAAACTTTATTTAGCTGTTATGTTTACTACATCATATTCGTAAGTAGGTACCTATTTTAAATAGTATAATATACAAAACTAAAGGCATCTCTGATCTCTGAACTATTCAATCGCAAACGATATTTAACATATTATTTGATCAGCCACCCACTCATCTATTTTATTCCTGAGGCGAAGCCTACTTCAACACGCCACTGTTATAAATACCGTAATTTTGTTTCGTCGCTCCGTTAGATTGACTGAGATGCGAGTGCCGCATCTCCGTAAAGGCATGACCATCGTTTGTACGTTTGATTTTTTCGATACTTAAATATTATTTTTAAGCATTTTAGATTTCTAGCGTAGCGAGGGAGCTCTTCGTAAAAACTAAGATGTTTATTTCTTTTTTTT